CCGTTGAGATTTTTTTTTGTAGTTTCAACATAAATTGCATTTTTTACCCAAATCCATCTATTCTTTATATTTTCTTGTTGCTCCTTGATCTTTGTGTCTGTGGCAGGCTGCTTCTAGAATGACTCCCAATTATCTTCACTTCCTGGTATTCACTCTCTTGTGTAATCCCCCTGTCTTAGTCTGAGTTCTTTACAGGAATAAAACCAGTAAAGCATATGAGTATATACATATATATATATATGTCTTTCTCTCTATATATATGTGTATACAAATATATATATGTACACATATTAAAGAGACCAAATCCACTGCTGTTGAGTCGATTCTGACTCATAGCAATCCTATAGAACAGGACAGAAGTGCCCCATAGGGTTTCCAAGGCTGTAAATCTTTACAGAAGCAGACTGTCACATCTTTCTCCCACGGAGTGGCTGGTGAGTTTGAACCACCGACCTTTTGGTTAGCAGCTGAGTGCTTTAACCACTGCACTACCAGTGCTCCTCATATACACACATTTGCAAAGATGTCACCTTGAAGATTAAGGTACACCTGAACCAAGACATGGTGTTTTCAATAGCTTCATATGCACGCGAAAGCTGGACAATGAATAAAGAAGACCAAAGAGGACTTGACTCCTTTGAGTTACAGTGTTGATGAAGAATATTGAACATGGAGTGTCAAAAGAATGAACAAATATGTCTTGGAAAGAGTATAGCCAGAATGCTCCTTAGAAGCAAGGATGGCTAGACTACATCTTACATACTTTGGACATGTTATCAGAAGGGACCAGTCCCTGGAGAAGGACATCATGCTTGGTAAAGCAGAGGGTCAGCGAAAGAGAGGAGGACCTTCAACAAGATGGATTGACACAGTGGATGCAACAATGGGCTCAAGCATAACAACGATTGTGAGGATGGCGCAGGACCGGGCAGTGTTTCCTTCTGTTGCGTGTAGAGTCGCTATGAGTCAGAACCAACCTGATGGCACCTAACAACAACAAATACATACATATGTGTATATATA